AACTTGCTGTAATCATTATAGAACAGTATAAGAAGAATTGACCAATGGGAAGAACTCTCTTATAATACAAGTACACGAGTGTGTAAAAAAAACAAAAAAACACTCAGGTGTACCTATTTTAAACTTGGTGGCGCAATTCAACGTACAATACAGAGAACGCGAAATAAAGTCAAAGAACGCATAACGCGAAATTAAAAGTTGCGAGAACGTATCACCGGGAATTCATTACACCCTATATATAACGTAGAACGAGAAATTAGCTGAGAACAAAAAATAACTAACTGGTTTTAATTGTTATCATAAATAAGTTTGTTGTAACCAGATAAGTCTGTTGTAAATTACATGTACCAGTAGTGTAAAACCACGAATTCTATTCTAATACGGTGATAGTGAGGGCAAATAGCGCCGACTTAAAATTGTGATAGGAATTGAGTTTGAGGATAGATGCAGTGTCGTTGTGCCATAACTGTTACGCACAATCTTTAATTATCTTTATGAACTGTGAAAGAAATTTGCCCCTACACCTTGGTTCATCCAACGCAATGAAAAGGCAAAGTTGTCCCATCTCCTATGAATAGGTCGGAATTCACCTGGACGAACGTATCAGAACCATTGCAGGCACAATAACATTGACATAAACTGAATGAAACATTCTTCACCGGTAAGAAACAAAAATCTGATCTTCTCGTAATCATCTCTTGACACACATTCGACTTATAAGATTTAGGTGACTTTTCACCTTTCTGGTTAGACTTGCCTTTACCCTCAGACATAATTTCTCTTGGTTTAAATGTCATGGTTGGTTAAAACTTAGATATGGTATCAACATTATCTCTGCGAAAGGTCCTTAATTTCTGAGCTGCGTCAGTATGTTATGCCTGTATGGTCAGCAAAGTCTGAATCATGTGAAACATAGCTGTAGAGACCCATACAGACTGCTAAAGTAAAAGTGTCATGCACAAAACCTAAGATGAGGTTCAATACTTCTCCGAGTAGTGAACAGTTTACCTAAACTATGGACTATACAATGGCCAACAGTTGGCAACATGATTCAATACCCATAACTCTTTGAATAAGACAAGCAACGATAATTGGTAAATCTTTTATATACATGTACACGAAAGTCTCAAAGTTAATCAGCAAATTTGTTCCAAGAACTCAAGAATGGTGGTTAGTTAGATGTGACGTAATTGACTTAGCGGGCAATCTCAATCTGGTGTCAAGAATTTGACTTCATCGGACCTTCAGTGTAGATTTTATTCGCTATCGAACCCAAGCCATAAACAAGCACGGAGTCACAGCTGTTGCTACACTTTGTGCTTTTGCAGCAGGCTACTATAAGCTGCAATTTATTTAGAACTTTTCGTTCTTGCAGATATTACATTAAATAAATAGCAATATTAGCATAATAGTTGCTTAACTAATTAATTATTATTTTTCATCCAAGACACTTTTTATATTTTAGCACTGGCGATAAAGTTAGAGTCACAGTCCATGATTTTGTGAAGTTTCCTTTTCACAGCCATGTGGTTGTTAAGAACACCCCATCTCAATTGTGGTAGATAAACAAACAGAACAAAATGCATACATACAGCTAAAACACATACCATGTTTTGTTATTGCTTTTTTTTAATATCAATAATAACTACTAATGTACAGTGCCCAGAGAATTGTATATTTTCATTATTTAACCCTCAAACTTGAACAGTACCTTATGAATAGAGTATATAAATTGCCCCCACTCCCCTTCAAATAGATCTGCCCCCTGAAAAAACATTGTAATGAATATTAACCAATCAAAAAAATTGGAATACCGTAAATACAACAATTTGGGACAACGTGGAAGCTCTTTGTTGAAATGAAATTATACCAATAAAGGATTTATTGCTGTTCATAGTTACATTTTTTGCCCAAGACACACTAGCAAAAAGTGTACACAATCTTTTACGTCTTTCTGCAAAACACACATGGAGGCAGCCATGTTGAATGTAATGTAGTAATGCTTAGCAAGCAGGTGGCCTTTTTGACTAACAAAATGAGTGTTAAGCAGACAGGCAGCCACATTGAATGTAATGTAGTAATGCAAAGCAGGCAGACAACCATGTTGACTGTAACACAATGTTTTGTTAAACAGGCAGCCATATTGAATGTAATGTAGTAATGCTATGCAAACAGGCGACCATGTTGACTGTAACACAATAAGTGTTGAACAGACAGGCTGCCATATTGAATGTAATGTAGTAATGCTATGCAGGCAGACAACCATGTTGACTGTAACACAATAAGTGTTGAACAGACAGGCTGCCATATTGAATGTAATGTAGTAATGCTATGCAGGCAGACAACCATGTTGACTGTAACACAATAAGTGTTGAACAGACAGGCTGCCATATTGAATGTAATGTAGTAATGCTAAGCAGACAGGCAGCCATATTGAAAGTAATGTAGTAATGCTAAGCAGACAGGCAGCCATATTGAATGTAATGTAATAATGCTATGCAAACAGGCGACCATGTTGACTGTAACACAATAAGTGTTGAACAGACAGACAGCCATATTGAATGTAATGTAACTCAGAGTAAATTAATGTAATCATTAAAAAAGCAATTAAAGTAAATGATATTTTTGTGAAGAAATATTTTCTAGACAATCCACAGCTTGAAAAGATATAGATACATAGCTATGATGAAAAAAACTTGTATGGTCATGATTGACCAAATTTCAAAAAGATAGAAAATATTTTTCTTGCTTGAAGCAGCACTGTGCATTGTGAAACCATGAAAAAGAAGCAGAAAGAGTACATGACAATCATTACATATTTTTTAGAGATGGACTCTAATACAGTCACATTAATAAATCATAATTTTTATTTACATACTATGTGAAACTTTGTCACCAATCGTGATAGGGCCAAAATATAAACATCAAGCTTTAGAAATTGTGGGCATGTTTTTATCTAAAAGTACTGTAAAACAAATCCTGCTTCCGAGGAATTACTGCAAAAGAGGAAATATTCGCTCGATTTAATTTAGCAGATTCTTATTGCCAGGATATTCACTAGGTTCTAAATCAACTGGGTTGTCATGGAAACAATTAAGCCCTATACAGTATACATTTAAATGTACATATTCTCATTTACATAACAATACATATTAGGCATATTTATAATATTTACATAAATTATCAGCAGATACATTAACATTTATTTGAGGTCTACCCGGGGTAGGTACATATACAAAATGTACTTACAATATTTGCCACCATATCAAACATTTGCATAAATTTACATAATATGCACATCCATACTAAAATGGGAGATTATTTTGAAGTATCATACAAATTTTCAACTTGGGCTAGATTTAGAAAATGATTTACTTGCATTGAAAGCAAACAATAGCCTGTAAATTATTGAGATAATTATGAGGAAGATAAGTATTTTAGAAAATAAAACTACAGTGATAAGGGGTCCTGGTGAAAGATGAAGAGTTTTGGATCACCGAAACACATGCATGCCAAACAAAACTCAATGTTTACCTCTCCACAATCAGATTTTCTCTCATCACAGTTAAACATTTTATACTTTTCATAAAATAAACCCTGCATAATTTTTTAAAAATTGTGATGAAGGTAATGAGAAATTCTATAATTTGGTCAAAAATGTACCAAGACATTTAAAAAAAAAAATAAAAATGTGTAAATGCACCAACATTTTGCCGAAAAAATCTATAACATTTATGCAGAACATAAATTAAGCACATGTATGGAAGTATTTTGTGGTTGGTTACAAGAGTTGATGGCGGTAATGAATGGGTTTCTACACCTCTCTCATTTGCCGTCTTTATCAAAACTAAGGTAATATTGTTGCAGCATTGTTCTACCAATCAATTTTTTACTCCCATTTTTGCATTTTCACACATAATCCAAATAACCGTCCTAAAAATGTGTACAAAAGATCAATTTAACTTCAAGCTCAGATTTTTTTTTAAATCAAATTGTACGAATCATAGTACTTTTTAATATACCAATTTTAGTATTCTTATTAGTCATCTATGGGCGTGCCACTGAAGTGAAGCAATTTTATTCAAACCTGTACCGATACAACTACGTTTCGTAAACCCGTGACAGTGCCATTCCCTATGTGAGTGACTATTCGCATCATGGTATCAGATGCAACTTACAATTTTGCAGAAATAATGATGCATATACAGTTGAGAAAGCAAGTGCACAACTGTGTTTGTAGATATAACTCATTCTGACCAGTTAACATATGAATATTGTATCACTCCACCAGTAGTGAGCTCCTGAAAATTATTACACGATCCAAAAAATCACCACAAACTTGGTGAATGCAATAAGTAAATATAAGCTATGAAATGAATCAGGATCTGCAACTACATGTTTTCGGGAATGCTGCAATTATTAAAAACTTTATTTGGACACCAAGTGGCGCTATAACCATTGAAGTCCATTTTTGGTGATCTTTGAGCTGGCTACGGTGGAAACAAAACATGATAAAGTCGTCATGCAGGTAAATTGATGTGTGAATCGTTATGACAACAGTGGATTTATCGTCCAGTATTCTATGAATATAATTTCAGTTGTTGAAAATATAAAATTGACAACTAATAGCCCTTCTCCATAAAAAATGACTTCCGGTATTAAAGTCAGTTTGACCTGAAATAATGTAAGAAATGTATGTGAGATCTGGAAATGCATTGATAAAAACTGTTTTTGTTGTTGTTTTTTTTTCAATTAACAAATCTAATCCGGAGTCTTTGTTCAGCATGCACATGTTTCGATTACCCATGGTAGACTGCCCTCTATAGTCATCTAGTATTCTAAAACTAGTACATGTACTTGCTCAACAAAAAGTCATGTAAAAAGTGTGCCAATATTTGAAAATTTTTCTGTAACAATTCTTGCTGTTATATTTAGATACTGCTGACAAGTACTCACACACGGCGAGGTGCACTTCTAAAGGAGTAAATACAAAGTATGCATTACTTGGTGCTAAACATCATAGCTCGGGTACGATTCCTTTCTTGGAAGCACCGTGAGCAATAATGATCAGTTTCGTCCGTTCCATAAAAAGCACAATTTGGAGCTTTGCATTGCTTTGGCACAGTTTTCTTCTTTGATATCTTGGATGTAGTTACACCTTTGTAGGCAGGGTTCTGAGTAAGATTTCCGGCTTTTGGCGAATCAGTGAGATACGACGCTTTTGCACCAAAATGTACCTGATCCATTATCGCTGGGTTCAAATCGTTCTCACTACAGCGCTTTTCATAAGTGGCTGCATCTGGTTTGTGACTACTGTTAGTTGTGGATAAAGAGTGCGCAGGATTTGTAATCGGTATCGGCCCTTTACTGATATCTGTAACGACACTAGATCCCTGATTTACGTGGGTTTTAACGTTTAACGTATCAATGTACTCATCGATAACAGTCCGAGAGTTTGAAGCACTTTCTGATGTACTATGCCTCTTTTCTAAATGTTGCTGATGTGGAACATGAAGGCCAACATCAGCTCCAGAAGGAGTAGGTGCTTTTGGTGGATTATAAGAGTTCGACCTCGCTGGGTGTGCGTAGACTGATGCTTTTTTATGCCTTGCATAGCATGAAGAGCACAGGTAATTGGTATCCTCAGTCCCGTACTTGTCACATTTAGGTGTGATGCATTTTGTCGGTTTCCCTCGCATGTCTTGTAGTCTCTTCTGCTCTAGCGCATGTTTATGCTTGAAGTCCTTGTCCTTTAGAAATCTTTCTTCAGCGTGCTTCATGTAATTTTCAACCATTTCCTGTTGAAAGTGGTGTCGCTTGGTGCTCAATTTTGCAGCAACAATAAAGTTTGTCTGTTGCAGATCATCCACATTTTCGAACTTTTTATCTCTATGCTTTTCCACAGAATTACCCGACAAACTGCTCTGTCCACTGCTTGAGCCGTCATCGCTGCATTCAGAATTCTTTTTCTTCTTGCTTTTCTTCCCAGGTAGGTTCTTTTTAAACAGGGCTTTCATGTTACTTGCTATTCCTACTTTGTGTTTAGGTCCTTTGCCGTTTCCTTTTGGCACTTTATCAAGTGAATCTTGTGACCAGTTGGTAGATTTGGAACCTTCAAATTTGTCATCTGGTTTGTCTCTATGGTTCTCAGTCGTTTGGTCTGAGAAGCTCACCGGCACAAGAACCACATCAAGATAGCGGTTCAACAAATAGACTTTCTCTTCCTCAGTTTTTTCCAGCAATTTCACTCTTTCGTCATTCTCGTCATCTTTTCCCCATAACCAATTTAATTGAGGATCAACAGCAAAGTGGATCGGCAGCAGCTGTCGCTCAGCGTCAGTGAGGGGAATGACAACTGAAAACAAAAGTAGACAATATGTTACAATCAGGCCATAGTGAAGAATTTATATGTTATGCGTCACCTCAACACTGGAAACAACAAATACTCATACAGAAAAAATATGGCAATAAAGTCAATAGTTTTATTTGTTTGTCTCTATCTTTATGATCAAAACAAATTTTGACACTGACTGACCTGCAATAATTTGTGTGGTCATAATTATTATACACAAAACGCAAAACAACAAAATTTATTTTTCAATCCAAACTAAAAATTTATCACTGCATGCATTTCACTTAAATATGCAGGTAGTCATTCATTAAACCCTGTTAACTGAACTGTTTTTGTTACAAACATACATAGTGTATAGCAATTTATAGAATTTATAAAACATTTGATCAGGACTAGCTGCCCACACACTTTAAGTGTTTCAATTTCTGGGGATTCTAAATTCTAATTTGCTGGCTGATAATTTTAAGGAATCACCAACCACATAGAATTTGAAAATATGAGCACGATTTGTAGCCTATTTCACCCATAAATGTTGTATTTACAACCGGAAATCATCAATAACAGCCTTTGCCATCTGATCTGCAAATTGGGAATGATTGGGAATTTCCTAACATTGCAATACATAAATTACATTCGTAGCTCATTATTTTTTCAAAATACCAAACATACTCGGAAATGTACATATTTCATATATATATACTTATTTCAACATGGCTGACAAAGTACATGTACATATTTTCAATACAATAAAACAAGCTAGGCAATTAGGTGTCGTACGTGAGCATCCGTTTCAGTCAAGCACACAGTACATGTTTACTTTGATTTGACACACTAGTAGTATTTACTATTTATTCGGTGTTATTTACTTGCTCTACTTTCTATGTCAGCAGCTACTATGAGTTTACAAAGAAATTACTTCATTTTTTAAAATAGAAACAACAATCGGCTACGACAAACAAGCATGTATACCAAAATCATTGGATACAGGTGATTTGAATGAAAATCAAAGCAAGTGTACCC